AGGGGATATGGTTGGAAACTAAAGTTTTCCTCCCCTGTGAGCGCGTATTCCAAACAGGAACCGCTGGGAGCATCTTGTTTTTGTTTTTTTAAGACTTAGTCATTTATCTGAGAGAGAGAGAGCACATGTGCGCACGAGCGGGAGGAGAGGCAGAAGGAGAAACAGGCTTGCTGCTGAGCAGGGAGCCCTATGTGCGGCTTGATCCCAGGCCCCTGGGATCATAACCTGAGCCGAAGGCAGACGCTTAACCTACTGAGCCACCCCAGGCACCCCTGCTGGGAGTATCTTGAGCTCTTTCTGGTTCTCACATGATGGGCTACTGAGACTACTTTTTAACACACGGCAGTGTTGCCTGGGAACTCTTTCTAGCAAATGACATTTTAGAAGTCTCTAAAACCACCACTGTCATTCAGTATCACAGTGAAAACACAACAGTTCAAAACACCCACTGCATGGTTATGAAATAGCCCAACCTTTATCACCTTCCAGGAAGCTGACGTCCTCAATTTCCCATGTCGGGGTGGACTTAGGATCTGGGAGAATCGGTCCCAGGCATGACCAGAAAGGAGGCAGGGAGTTCAGGGGACTTGGGGTCAAGAAGACCCAAGTTAACATCCTGACTCTGACGTTTACGGATGCAAATTATAGAAACGCTTTAAGCCTCAGTTTCTTTTTCTGAAAGAAGGGATAGTAATACTTATCTTACAGGTTGTTATAAGGAGTAAATGAAGTACTATACAGAAAGTACCTGGCACAGTGCCCGGCCCAGAGAGAAACTTATTCAACAATAGCTGTTGTTAACATTAAAGGGTAGGGGTGGGGTAAGTTGGTGAAAAGAGTGCAGAAATGGATAAAAGAGAGGCAGAACTGTCTAGAACCGGCAAATCTATGAAGACAGAAAGTAGGTTAACGGTTGTGAGGGAGGAGGGGAACTAGGAGTAACTGCTAATGGGCACAGGGTTTCTTTTTGGGAGTGATGAAAATGTTCTGGAGGGTGCCTGGGTGGCTCAGTTAGTTAAGCGACTGCCTTTGGCTCAGGTCATGATCCCGGAGTCCAGGGATTGAGTCTCGCATCAGGCTCCCAGCTCCACGAGGAGTCTGCTTCTCCCTCTGACCTTCTCCCTTCTCATGCTCTCTCTTACTATCTCTCTCTCAAATGGATAAATAAAATCTTTTAAAAAAAATGTTCTGGAATTAGCAGTGGTTTGCACAACCTTAGAAGTATACTAAAAACCAACAAAATGTACACTATGGAATTGTGAATTTTGTGGCACATGAATTACATCTCAAAAAAATACCCCCCCCCCACAGGTAACTCATACGCTTCATATCTGGAAAATCTAGTTACCTGGAACAACCCATTCCTGACCAGGCTGGCTAACAGAGGTGTGCCAGCAGGGGGATAGGATGGGAAGAACCCTGAACTAGAAGCCAGGAGGCTTCATATTTATAGCATCTGAGACCAACCAGGCTGATTCCTCCCTTGAAAGAAAGGGAGACCGTGGCCCAGAAAGCTGAAAAGATTGTCCCCAGGTGGCTGAGGTGAGGCTAGGCTCCAGGGTTCAGTAACTCAACAGAGTTCCTCAAGCGTATTCAGCCCTTACAGGCAGGAAGACGTGAGGGTTAATGGAGGTCGACGGCTGCTTTTCCTCAGTAATTGTGTGGGGAGGGCAGAGCTCTTGTCTGGAATGGCAGCTGGCATTCTGTGTTCCTGTTTATTGCAGTTTATCTCAAGCAGTCATTTCCATTCACCTTTTAAAAAAAACATGAGGCGCAGCTGTGGCTTCACTTTAAATATTGTTCCTTCCAGCCTTTTAATTTTTTCACAGGCTCCTCCCTAATCTTTCACCATAATTGGATGCACAACACTAGAGACAGCACCTCGGAGAAACAAAGCGAGCAAGCCGGCTTTTCCATCCTCTGACCACACACGGCTGTCCGGCAGCTCCTTCTCCTGCAAGGAGCAGCCTGGGAACAGATCTGCGTCCTGTGTTTGCTCTGCTCGGGGACCAAGTGGCGGCCAGCCTTCTGCAGGATTCTATGTTAAATTCTCCTCATTTCCTTTCTCGGTTTCCCTCAGTGTAAGCTGGATCTTGCTGGGGTCCTGACACATCAGAGGAGGCACGTTTCCCAGGTCCACACTGGATCCGAACGTTCTTCTGGGCAGCGTCAATCCCATGTCAGCTTATTTGTTGGTGTGTCTCCCCACGTGGACGGTAAGCTCCTCGAGGCAAAGCCTGGTCTCCCTTCTGCGAGCCTGGCCCCATGCACAAAGTCAGGGTCATGGAGGGGCTCTCAGGAGTGATGGATGAGGAATCAGGACGTGGGTCCCATGCTGCCTGCCACCGTGGTCCTGAGGACAATCAGCTGTGTGGGTCTTTACCGGAAGGTCAGAGGTTGCTCAGAGCAAAGCAGGACAATAATGGATTGAACATACACACCTGAGATTCGGCCACAGTGTGGCCTTTCCTCCCTATATACTAAGATCTGTTTTACTACTATGACTGAATAAACCGGAGGTCCTTAATGAAACATCTCTCTTACCATCAGGACCTTCCCCCGAGGAATAGGAACAGATGTATATTCTTTTCCTTCCTTCGCCGAGGTGGAATCTAATTTTAGTCATCAGAAAGTGACCTTTCCCCCAAAGGCTGTTTGCCTGACTTTAAAACAACCTTGTAAAATAATCCCTAGACACATGTGGCATTTATTAGTGTGACTGGTATAGGAAATAATATCGTACCTAGCAAGGCAGGGGCAAACCAATCTTCGGACTGTTTTTGACAACTGACCTCAAAGTGACAGGAGGTAAAAGAAGAAATGATTAAAACTTTTATATTTATAAACACTTTATTTTAAAAATATCTATTTGTGTATAGATTTTATGTACACAAAATATATATTTACAGTAGCGTATATGTATAATTAATGAATAGGATAGAGATATGATATCAGAGGTCTGGGTTCAAAAACATTTTACTGATGGATCCAAGGTCAAAAAAGCCTGCACACCACTGCTTTATGGCATTTAATTGAGTTTTCTACTTAGCTGAACAGCAAAAACATTAGAGAGAAAAATGTAGATAAGATGTGAATTAGGAAAAGTGATTTTTTTATATTAGGTTCTCTAATTCTTTTTATTTTAAAGAAAGCACATGTTGCCCTGATTCACCAGAAGTTCATGATGAAATTAACAATTTTTTTTTTAAAGCATAATGAAGCCTTCAGAATAACCAACACATACATGAGTTTGAAAGTCCTTGGCTTAGGAAAAGTATACTTAAAAAGCTGAAATGAGAAGAGAACGGGTCTCATGTTTAGAAAAATACAGACTGATCTGTGTATCCTACACATCTAGTAGGTTTCATCTCGTGGTCCTTCGCACTCCCCCGTTACATACTGTTTCTCCTGAAATCACAGGTGGCATTCTCCTGCCTTAGCTAGATAAGGCACTACACAATGCAGCTCTGTTTTGTTGCGGGCGATGTTTTATAGCCGCTTGAGCCTCACATGTTTGTCATTTTGGTCAGTGCTGTATCAGGTTGCCGGCATATCATCGCTTGCTCATTCCAGGCATGTGGGCTCTCTCAGTTTCCAAGGAAGGAAAAACGACAGTGGCCATTACTGCCCAGTAAAAAGTCATTACTGTCATTACTGCAGTAGCCACGGGATGTCTTTCATTTTTCCTAAGTGCAAACTGACCTATGCTTTTCTACCTGAGAAACGGTTTGAGTGTGACCCGTCCTTTGGCACTGGAAGAATGCGGGCTGAGAACTGCGCGCTTGTCTTCAGGGCCGGGTAAGTGACCCACTCTGATGGCTGAGTGTCCTATGCCTCTTTTGCATATGCGCTTCTGGCAGGAGGGGACAGCTGAGAGGTGTCAGTTTCAGTATTCAGCACACTTATCGCCTTGGGCCCTCGTTCCCTTCTTGGGGAGAAAAATGCATAGGGCAACATAGCAGGTTATTTAAACCTCTTTTACACATGTAAGTTTTGGGTTCTGGAGAAACGAGCATCAACTATTGTGAACTGCTCTAAGAGATAAAGTACATACTTAAAACATCCCCCGCACTCAAACACAACTTAGTGCATAAGATACAGAATGCCATATGTTATGTTATTATACTTAAGAAACTAACATGATAGAACTTTCAATATCTTATTCTGGGGGAAAAATGTTAATGACATATTCGATCAAACTGAAAATTGAGCAGCTAGTTTTGCTGCTCAAGGAGGTGGTGTTACCTAGTATTTACCTCTGAAGGAAAAGAGGTTTTATTTTCCAGGTCGATGATGGAAGGACTCTTATTCTTCACACTGTGACATGTTGTGACCTACACTTGACTTGTGGAAAAAAAGGGGGAAAGGATGTAGTGTGGTTTAGCCTTCTGTGGACAGAAAAGCATATACTTGTAGTTTAATTTTATGACCTCACCCGTATAACTAAAGCTATTTTTACTTGGGCCTGTTATTTCTGACAATTACCAGATAAGACATTCCAAAAATATATTTACTGTCTTTCAAAAGAAAAAGCTAGCAAAGTATTAGCAGACACTACATCAATGTTTCAAAACCCCACCCTTCTCTTGGTAAAACTATATTTTCTATTGTTAAAAAAAGTCACTTAAAAGACAAATTAAACATTATAGTAATTATTTACTGTGGGTAAACTATCAACATACATCAAAAAATTTTAAAATCCTTCTTTTACATAAAAAGACTGCCTAGCAACTAAATGCATGATAAGAGTTTTTTCAACTCCAGAATAACAACATGTATATTCCAGTTACTGTTGTAATATATTAATGAATACAAGCTGGGAAAAGCAGAAAGAAGAGCCCTCCCAACTTAATGCCTCTACTTCTGTGCATTTAGCTTTCCTGAATATATTATGGCAATGGCTACTGAGTGTGGAATTTGGCCACTCCTCAAGGGTGTTCTTTCTCCCAGTTAGAAAAATGGTCCGATTGTTTACAAACAAAAGAGCTCCCCCCCCTTACCTTTTTATAATTCCCCTCCATATCCAATGGGGATTCTTGACCGATGATGTCATCCATTCCATCACTGTCCAAATTCATCCTCTAACTCTTGAGAATTTCACTTAAGTGATAACCTCCCATGAATTCTGCTAGGCTGCTGTGCCAACGGCCCAGTACCCTGGTTATTGCTCATGCTGACGTGGAGAGCCAGCTAAGAGCCTGTGCCTGGTGGTTGTGCATATCCTTGCCCCTGCTCTGGCCCACGGACACCGCCCTGCCCGGCCTCCCTGCTCTGTCCTGAGCTCTGGCACGGGGGCAGCTGCTGGTTCTGAGGTTCTCTCTGTCTCGACAATGTGTTGAATGTCCAGCCTTCCCACAGTCTACTCTCCCCTTCCCCTGAGGGATCCCGCCTAGATCCCTCTCCACAGCACCTTTCCTCCTCCTCCCAATCAAGGGAAAGCGGATTCAACGCCCCCACTCCTCAGTTCAGGGCTGAGTGTGGATTGGAGCCCTGCGAGGAAACCAGCCACCTTATTCTGACCCAGGGTAGTGTGAGGGATAAAAATAGACGCAAAACCCGGCCTCCCAGACTTCAGTAGTGACTTAAAAGCCGGGTATCCCATGACAAAATGAAAACAGTATAATTTAAAGGCTAACCTGAAGACACATGCTTGCTCCCCACCCCCGTTTGTCCTATAACCAATCATTTTAAAATCAGATGTGAAAACCTCATCTTCTGGTAGTGGCCCAGCACAAGGATAAAATTTATTTCCAACTCAGAGAAGGAACCCTCTGCTTCAGGATCAGCGCTTTGTTCTATCCATATAGGCAAGAGAAAAAGATCCATCAACTTTTCTTTAAAATCCAGTCAGTGGGGAAAAAAAAACTCCAGCCACTGGCGGGCTTTTACACAAAAGAAAACGCTTCCTTTCTGCTGCTCTCTTTACCCTTTTCCCATGGCTTTTGGTTTTTTACTGGCTTTACATACAGAGAAGGAAAAGGCCCACAGCTGGAGGATGTTTTCTCGTAACAGACAAACAGAAGTGCAAACATGAGCACACACTCATCATTATCAATTTACTACTACCATAAGCTAAAGATACACACACTATTTATTTTTGAAAAATGTTACTGTTTGCAGGAGAAAACGGGCCAAAGAAGAATTCAAAGGCCAAGCCCCCGTTTAACAAACCATCTTATACTCTGACATGCTTGGACAGAAAACAGCAAATGTCCTACTCAATTCATTTTCCAATAGGAATTCCTGACCAAGCTCAGTGCTGTTAAGACCAGAGCTCTAAAGTAAAAATGCCGTTCAAGATGGCCTTGACACGCTCACGTTCAGTTGTCTCTTTCTCTCCGCGAGTTAAAAAACAAAACAAAACAAAACAAAACAAAAAAGCATTTCAATTTGTGGAAGGCTTGTGGCATAAATGTGTCTTTATGCGGTTTACTGCAGTCCTCCGTCGATAAGGCAAATACCGTCCTGCGCAGTCCCTGACTCAAATCCAAATCCTGCCTTTCGCCCACCCTTATCTCCCCACTCTGTTCCCGAGAGAATTGGGCGATGACAAGTTGTTATCACAGAAGCCAGACTTGCTTCTGGCGGGGCTTCTTCCCAGCAGAGATCTCCCTCATCTTACTCTCCTCCAGACCCCAGCGCCCTCACTCTACACAAGGGTCCTACTACGTGCATACACGACACCTTCTCGGCCTGGGAGGCAACGCTGGCCACCAAGAGTGGCTCCACCGTGGATGTTCCCATCATGGAAGAATTCTCCAAAGCCTTAGCTTTGGGTCAAAATGTTTTACTTTTTTACTATCAAATCCTGCCCAAGGAGGTTAGTGAAAGTGAAGGAAGCAGCGTCCTATTATCTGACATATGTTAACATAGTAACGATAGCCGCCCTTTGCAGAGGGGTCGCTGTGGGCCATGCACTTCAAAGGTGCCTCTTAACTTATGTCTTTAGTCCTCATGGTAACCCTTTGGAGTAAATATTATTATCAACTGCATGGTGAGGTTTGGGAACTTGCCCAAGGCGAGGCAGCGGGCCAGTGGTCAGGCCAGAATTGAGACCTGGGGCCTCCGCTGCTGAGGCTCACAATCTACACGCGCAAGCTAGACCACCATCCCCTGGTTGCCTCAGTAAGAAACAGCCGCACACAATACAATAATCGAGCCTAGCTCTTACACATCAGGGCTTAGTACAGAGAGAATTCTGGCAGCACACAGAATCTCATGGACGGGAACGCACATATGGAACACCCAGCCTCGATCACCACTATCCCCTGATGATTAGGCTTCAAGAAATGAAATAAAACCTCCTTCACTGATGGTCATGACCTAACATGCTGGAGAGTGAATTTTCTTTTCTCGTCAGCCACGGTGTTTTTAGCGCCCTGTGGTTTCTTTCCAACAGCTGTTATGGTTGCAAGCTTCTTCTCTAAAGGGGCAGGGATTTTGGCTTATCCGTCTTCCTTTCCCCACAGCATCATGACAACGCCTTACACACATTAGGTGGACAGTGAAGGCTGTTGAATGAATACATGAAGAGAGGAGAAATGTACATGTTACCTAGAATGTTGCCTCTAAATGCTCCACAGTAGGAAACATTAATAGTTGATATTAGTGCTTTTCAACTGAACTCTTCTGTGGAAATCATGTATGTTCAGAAGGTAAAAATGGGTCTGGATGGGTTGAAGGGGAGGAGCTACCACAATTTTCAGGAATTTCAATCTCTTACCTAGTTAGCATCCTACTCCACCTATCTATTTATGATCAAGACTTAACACGGATGAAATCATAAACATCTAGAGATTTACAAGACTGAGTAAAATACACAAAACTGTAAGCCTAATTGCTAACATCTTTTTACTTTAATTTTAACTGGGTGGGTTTATATATATAGTTAAAATGACTGAACTCTCACTATTAACTATATATATTCAAATTAATATATATACACTAATAATATATTGACCACATACATACATATATATGTATACACACATACACTATTAATATATTATCTCTTGGAGAAGGGCACCTCAAAATCCAAGACGGAAATTTCCCAGCAACAAGGATTAATACTAAGAAAGTACTAAAGACCATTCCCTTCCTCTAACCCCAATGCTTTTTATTGTCATAAGTGGTTCTCTAATAAGTACTACAAAGAGACAAGTGATAGAACATCTCCCCAAAACACGGATGCAAGAGCTTGTAGGGCGGTGCCCAGTGGAGAATTTCCTTTGTTCCTCCCCCTAAAGGAGTGCTCAGCACATAAACAGGTTCATAGCTTAGGTCCTTTCCAGAAGGAGCTATACCACTGTATATACCTCAAGTATATATTGTATATATCTCAAGTGGTATATATATATGTATGTGTACATATATATACAAGATACACTGCTTGAGATACATAATATCTCAAGATGGCACAAGGAGACTGATCTCTGATGTTTTCAAGAGTTTTGCTATTCAAAATGTGTCCTTCTGACCACAGCATTTGTATCACTGGGAGCTTACTGGAAATGCAAGCCCTCAGGCCCCACCCTAGACTTACTGAATCAGAAATTTCATTTTTAAGAGAGTCTAAGAATTTTGAATACTCCTTACATTTCAGAAGCACAGCTTTAGACCTTGAGAAAAAATTCATTATAAGCTATTATCCTTCTATTTTGGACCATACTGCCAGGCATGGCGGCAAGACCCTGACTTTAGCTGCTTGGGATCAATGCTGTAATTGATTTCACTTCCAAGAGGTCCAAATGAGTAGAGAAAAGGGGAAAACAAACAAAAGACCCCCTTGGAAGACTTGAGCGCAGTATAATGTTTGGTGGTTTTGCAGTAGCTACGCAAACAAAGGGAGAACAGCTCTTCATGTCCTTCCTACAGATAATTTGCTCTGGTTCTTTCCTCCACTGCTGACCTCTCTAAAACGAACTACGCTGACATAGCACAGGCCCAGATGCTACCACTGTCCCTTGGAAAATGTACACATAGCCCCTCACAGTCCCTGAGCTTGACAGGGCCTCTTCTTACCCCTGCCCTGAAATTTAGGGACTAGAACGGAGAGCTTCAGTTTCCTGTCAAGACCATAATCTGAACCATGAGACGCACTGGTCATGTGAGCTAATGCTTTTAAAATGATCATTACCGGCCAGTGGTGAAAATGATCGACTCTGAAAACACTGACCGCATTACTGGGAAATCACTTATGCATTGTCAAAAGATTTTCCTGTTCATAGATGGAAACTGTAGTTCATCCTGATTAACCCTTCAGCAGTTCACTCCTTCCCTTCAGGCTTAACATTCAAATTCCATGTGCTATACAAACTGATGGCTGATTTATAATCTCTTTCCAAATAAACCATTTTTTTTTCTTCTGTGCAAAGTTTACCTAAATTTGCTTTGCTTTTCCATTTAAGTAGCTAGATAACCTATTAAAACATGCAGGTAACTTAATTAATTAATTAACTATAGAGAGAGAGCACGTGTGCAAACAGGAGGAGGGGCAGAGGGAGACGGAGAACCTCTAGCCGACTTTCCACTGAGTGTGGAGTCCAACCTGGGGCTCAGTCTCATGACTCTGAGATCACGACCTGAGCCAAAATCATGAGTGAGGCGCTGAACAGACTGAGCCACCCAGGCGCCCACACGGGCAATTTTTCCCCCCACAGGCAATTTTTAAATAGACTTTCTGGTGCAGGCTAAAAAAATTAAAATAATGGCACTGGGAGAGTAGGGTGGAGGATGTGGAAGTGTTGGCAATAGGCAGAGTACCAGATGTTTACCCATATCAAAAAGATTGAGGACCCCAGACGTAAATCTTCTTGCCCAGCTGGACACCTGAGGATAAGAAACACAACTGCAGTCACTTTGATGGCTGCAGCACCGCTTCCAAGTGGGACCGGTACTAATGCCCTCAGTATGTTTCTCTGTGTTCCTAGCACTCTTGCCCCATTAATGGGCACTTACGTCAACTGCCACAACCTCTTTGATGTTTGCTTCTGAATTCAAGTACTTTTGTTCAAGTACTCACTATTTCAGGAAGCTTGGTCATTCCTGATGCTTCTATATACTGCACGGGGAGTAGCATCAAGATTTCAAATTTTCCCTTAGTGTAGAGGACATAAATAAATAATGGGTCTATGGCCACAACACCCTGAATGCACCTGATCTCATCTGATCTCAGAAGCTAAGCAGGGTCGGACT